TTTTTTTCCTAGGTTTTAAAGGAAAGGGCTCTTTTTTGGCTGATATTAAAATGTGCCCAGGGAGACGTGCTAGTTGGGACCATAATTGGACTATCACAGGCTTTACCTTCCCTCAGTTAAGGACCTCACTTATAATCCTTAGAACCTCTGTTGTCCAGGTACTTTACCTAGTACGCTGACAAGTAGCAAAAGCTCCTTTCTTTAAGATTAACACATTTGCTTATGTCTGTTTTAGGAAAACCTCACAGCACCAATAGTTCTGAACGGATTCAGCTCTCAGGAATGTACAACGTCCGTAAAGGCAAAGTGCAGCTGCCAGTGAACCGCTGGGCCAGGCGCCATGTCATCCTGTGCGGGACGTGCCTGATAGTGTCATCTGTGAAAGACAGCGAGACCGGGAAGATGCACGTCCTGCCCCTCATTGGCGGGAAAGTGAGTGCACAGAAGGAATGCAGACAGTACTAACAGCCTTCTCAGCGTCACGAGGAGCTGACCCTTCGCTCTTTCTGGCCCAAGGGGTACATGGGTCTCCACTCCTCTGCAGCCCTCCTGGCTGCCTGTGGTCCCCCCCAGTGGGCATTCTTGTTTGGGGAGGTTGTGGGAAATAATTCCACTCATGGGAGGCCCTGGGATCTTTGCTTCATCCATGCGTGGATTTTATCCACCAGCTGAAAACAGAGCAGCTAGAATTTCACCGTTACATTTGAGGCCGCAAGTGAAAAGTTATTCGTGAGTACACGTGCTTTGATCTCCCAAGCACACACATGGTGTTATGCATAACAGTCCTTAGACCTGTGACCTCAGGGTCACTCAGGTGTGTGCATCCAAAGTGACACTAACAGGAGTCTCTGATTCCACGTAACTGTTTATCTGTGCTTAGTAACCAATGAAATTAGCATTTTTAATTTGTCACTATAGCTAGTCATAAGTTTGATTAATTTCAGAGAAAACCTGAGGTTCAGCTGGAAGATATTTCCGATACTACTAGCTGCCTTTCTTTAGGCAAGTTAACTGTTTTCCTCTCATTTACAAAATAGAAACAAATTGCTTGGGAAAATGTTACGTTATTTTCTTTGCCAGATTTATTTATAAACTCCAAGCTTTGGTTGGGGTATCATTATCATAATTATATGTCAGTATTTCCTGATTTTTAAATGCTATGATAATCTTCTAATAAATGGGAAGGCAAATTTGGAAAAAAAATGGGTTTTCTAGAAATCAGGCGCATATTAAACAAACATTCCCTTTACTATTTTCTTTTGAATGGGCGTGGGAAAGGAGGCAGGATGTGGAGAATATAAAGAGAAGAAAAATAATAAGCCAACTTTTGTTAAAGGGAATTTTTTTCAATTGGCAGATGTTTTGATCTGCTGGCTCCAGGGAGTAGAAATGACTGGAGGTGTGCAGCAACTCTGATTGCGTGTTACCTGCTCAGAGGAGTTTATGAGCTTAAACTAGTGTGAAGAGAAGTAGCCCCCTCTCTCTGTTACACATTCTAATCCTCAGAGAACTAATACTTGATCATTTTTAAAAATAGATTTGGCCAGGCTGCGAAGTATATTTAAATCCAGATTAGTCATCCATTTAAAAACCATTGCTTAACTTTGATCTGAGCATTGGAGAATTAGTGATATCTTATTACTGAAGATTTTGTCCTTTGAATGGATTACTGGAAAATTAGTCACTGTTATCGTTCTTAGGTCATCATTAAAAACGCTTATTTAATATTTGATGCCCTGTTAGGTCAACAGTCTTTCTTCTCTATGATGGTAGGCATTTGCATGGCAGTTTTAAATAACTATTTATTAAAGATCTTCTGTGGAGAGGCCCTTTGCTTGGCGTCCCAGAAATACCAAGATGGGGATGTCGTCATCGCAGCCTTTGAATAGCTCGTAGTTTGCTCTCAGGTCATAAGGAACCGGCACAAGGATGTTTGCTCTACCAGATGGATAGAAAAGTGCTGCGGGAGGTTAGTAGAAGGCACAACTGGGGCAACGGGGAATTTTGTGAAGAAGAAGCAGCAATCTGAAGGGTGAAAAATTTCTTGACCTGACAAGTCGGTCAGAATATTACTGTGTTCAGAGACGCAGACACACGAAAGCACCCAGTGCTCAGATAAGGCCAGAAGCAGCAGTTGTAATTAGCGTTTTCTTTCAGAGCTGGAGACTTGTCCTGTTTCCCAGGCCTGTGATTGGCTGGACTTCTACCACTGAGTGAATGGAAAGCTAATAGCTTCCTATTCTCAGTGACAGACCTGGTAGAACCTGTTTGTGCTACTCCTTTGAAAATAATTGAGGACGGTGAAAAATGGAATCTTTTAAAACCTGTTGTCTGAACTAGAAAAAGTAATTAAGCCTTGCAATCTGAGTTTTCATTAATGTTTGTTACCTTTTTCTTCTTATTCTGTTGTTAAAGGAAAAACTGAGACTTAGTGGGATTTATTTTAGCTTAGAGAAAAAGAACTAGACATGAATTATGCAACAGGTCAGTCATAACATACCCATGATTACTGTGATAATCAGATTTGACACACTTGAGCATTCCTGTTTTCAAATGCAGAATTCCAAATATGAAGTTAAATAAAGCTGGTAAAATAAATTTTTATCCAATGTGCAGTAATTATGTTTATCCTGTAGAATTTAGCAAAGATTTCTAGATAACTTATTTTAATTAATACTTTATTTAATATTTGTTAAATTGTAATGCATAATAAATTCCATAGTTGGTGATTTACTAGGGCAGTGTCAATACTAGTGTTTCCACCTTTGTTCTCGTCTCACCTGTCCCATATCACCCTCAACCCCAGAGGTGTTATAGTGTCCTAGAATATGTATTCATCGTTTTCTTACTCTTTTGAAATGTTTATCATCCAACTATGATTTACACGTTTTTGACCTAAGTGAAAATGACATTGTGCTATCTTACCTTCCATGATTGAATTCTTTCTCTCAATACTACATTTCACAGTAAGCGTCCATGTTGCTTGCTATAAGTTTTGTTCAGTCTAATATTCCACTCGATGACTATTTCAGCTTCCACAGTTTCTTCAGTAATTTACCTGTTGATGGACATTGATTTTACATTGGGTTGCTTCCAGTTTTTGGTGTAAATAATGTTGCTGAAATAGCCTTATATGATAGGCCTCCTGGGGTGCAGTAGTTTCTCTAGGGTCTCGGGCCTAAATTCTCAACCAGAGTCTCAACCAGAGTGACCGAAGCCTCTATTTGGTGCTAGGTGATAGTGTTTTGATGGTCCTGTGAATGCTTAGTCAACATATCAGTTGATGTGAGCTGTGCTAAAAAGACCCCAGCTCTCCGTGGAAGAGTATTTTATTTTTCACTTGCCGGATGCATCCTCTTTGGGTGTGTAGAGAGTTCTGTTTTCACTTAATCATACAAGGTGCCAACCTTGCGAGGCCGAGGTGCAGGTCACTTTTAATTATAGTACCTGGTATGGGAGACCTCCCCTTGTTGCTTAAGCAGCCTTTGGCTCTTATATATTTGTGAGACACACATCACTTCTGCCCACAGCTCATTTACCAAAACTAATCACATGACTCCTACATGACTCTTGGAAACATGGAGAAGTAGGTAGGTAGAGTGATCAGGACTGAAATCTTGCAGGGGGACCCTACAGGCATATATAGGGCCAGGTCTCAAGCAGTCATAGATCACGGAAAGTGTTACAGTGCTGTGCAGTGTATAATGAAGAACTAACCACACACAGGAAAGTGATTAGTTCTTCGTGTGCAGTTACTGGACTCTAAGACACACACATATTTACTTTTGCAAGATGATACCAAGTTGTCTTTAGGATGTTTTTCCATTTTTGCACTCATCAGTATACTCATTTCTGATCTTATTACAGGGACTGTAGGGAAATCGGTTTTTATATATCTTCAAATTTTATTGAGGTACAGTTTACGTACAATAAACTGCACATTTGGATAGTTGTATACTTCCAAGAATACTATTTGGTAGTTACATCCATTAAACCATGATCACAATAAAGATCATGATCATATCACACCTTAAAGTTCCCTTGTATTCCTACTTTACTTCTTCCCTTCCTCTTCCATTTGCACTCACTTGGCCTAGTCTATAAGAAACCACTGGTTGTTGTCAATATAAATTAGTTTACTTAATGTTATTTTAAAAATTATATTACCTGTTTGATGTATAAAAACGCAGTTGAGTTTTGAGTATTGGTGTAATATCCAGCCACTTTGACAAACTGTTACTCGTTCTAATGTAATGTCTGTGGACTCTGTCTTTAAGTATGTGGCAAATCATGTCATTGAAGTTTCTTTCTTATATATTTCTTTGTCTTGTTATAATGGTCAGGACACTAGTATAATACTTCATAAAAGCAGTAGGTACTTGTCCTATGGATGATCTTAAAGAGAGTGCTTTCTCATTGACACTGAAGTTAAATGTTTGATAAATAATGTCAGCTGGAGTTTTTGCATTCTTAGTTTGCCCATGTTCTCTATCATGAATGGGTGGTGAATGTGATCAGGTGCATTCTCTCTAGCTATAGAAATGATCAGTGATTTGCTTTAATCTGTTGACATAATTTGATAATTTTGTTATTGAATTCTGACACAAATTTTGGTCAAGGCAATTGTTCAGGACTGAAGGAGGCTTCTAAAGTTTCCTTTCTCTTACCCTCTGATCTGTTTGGTCATGTCTTATAGAAAAGGCTGTTTTTTTGTTTTTGTTTTTTTTTTTCATTTTTCATTTAGTGGGTGAGTTTGCAGTTTCAAGTGATGTGTTTCTTGGAAGTTTTGTAAAGTTCATCTAGAAAACCATTTGAACCTAATTTTTTTTTTTTAGAATTAAAAATAAAAGCCATTCAGTTTTTTGAATGATTGTAAGACTGCTTAGGCATTCTTTTTTTTTTTCCCCTTACTTAGTATTGGTAAAACATGTATTTCTAAAAAGTTTGTTTATATTCTTTTAAGTTTCTGCTTTATTTGTAATCACGTCTCCCGTTTGCTGTTAATAAGTAAGTGCATTATGTCTTCTTTTTTTCTTGATAGAACTCACCAGTGGATTTATCAGTTTTGTTAGCCTTTCTAAAGAACCAAGTTTTCCTTGTTAATATCTGTGTTGTGCAGTTGGTTTTTGTTTCATTAATTTCTGCTTTTTATTGTCACCTTCATTCTACTTTGAATTTATTCCATTTTTAGTTTTGATAAGAAAAAATTAAACAAAATGAGGGAGCAAAGGAGAACATACGCTAACTGGGTGCTGGTCACAGCAGGTCCCCACAGGGAGCATCCAGCTGTGCAGGACAGCAAACCTGGGCTTCCTAGGGACTGCCTAGGGTTTTTTTGTTTTTTTTTTTTTTTTTTGTGATTCTTTCTCAAGCTCCTTGCAAGGTGTGAGCAAGTAATAAACTAATCATGGTCAGGGATTAACCACAGTATTTAAAGAAAAAAGGACTTCAAAGAGGTTTTTTTTTTATGGGTTTCAGGAGATACTTAATAAATCTGTTTAAAAAAAAACAAGCAACTCCCCTTTTTTGGTTTTCTTGTCATTCAGATTGGTTTGGCAAATTTAGGAACTTACATGCAACAAGAGAACTATATATAGTGAAAGATGCAAATCTGTGGAACCTCACTGACCCCTACGGTATAGTTTATGTACCATGTAAATGGCACTTGTTTTCTTACTCGGTTTTGTCTTGCTTTTTTTGTTTGTTTCTATAGGTAGAAGAAGTGAAAAAGCACCAGCACTGTTTAGCATTTAGCTCTTCTGGACCCCAAAGCCAGACTTACTACATTTGTTTCGACACATTCACAGAGTATTTAAGGTGGCTTCGGCAAGTGTCCAAGGTAAGCACTTGTCCAAGGATTCTGTTCAGCTTGTAGCTGGCAAAGTGTTGCTTTCTTCTTTACCTTGTTTCAGAAAAATAGATATTCACTCAGCCTTTTTTCAGGTACTGCCAACAATTTCTAAAAGCTAGTTTTATAACAGTGCATTGTGTATGAAAAGTAACTTCCTGAAAATTGTGACCTATTTGCCAGATTTTGTTGTAATAAAAAGACAGAGAATTCAGTGGGTAGACTTAATTTATCTTCAGGTTAAATATAAGGAACATGAAATTGAGAGTGGTTGAGGGGCTGGCCCAGGTTAGAACTATAAAATACCCAGAGGATTGTTAGAAACTTCCCCTGACATTTTTCCTCATAAGTGGTCTAATTTTACATTCCCTTTCACCTTTTTAACTTCTGCCTTTTGAGTGGTTTAATGTCTTGTTGCCTTTTTATTATTTTGAGCATTTTGTAGTCTCCTGATTAACAATATCACCTGACCCATGAAAACAGTGTATGTGTTTGTGTGCATGTGTGTATGTATTGAAGACAGAATAATAAGATAAATAAGATAAACAAATGCTACTACTTCAGGAACTGTGTGTGAGGATGTTTTTATGTCTTGTTTATAGACTTATGTGTGAAATGATGGGTGGGTTGTAGTACTCAGTCCTTTGGTGTTGGGTGTATTTGTATGATGATGAAACCTCTCTGGGGCAAAGAAGTATTACAATGGAATTTGCTTTCAGATTTTTGAATTTTAATCCAATTTCTTTTCTATGCTCAGTATGATTCAGACTACTAGATGACATAATTATCAAGTAATTGAGTAGGAACAGCTAACAGAAAATTAGAGAATAATGTCTAAAAAGGTGTTTTGAAAATATTGGCCACGTTTAAATTATCAGTGCTTAGTGTTCTCTGATGAGGTGAGGGTTAGGGACCTGAGTTTCTCCTTCTTTTAGAAAAGAAGTAATGGGCAGTGTTTCAGTTGATAAGAAGTCAGAAAATTCTCCCAGTAGGCAAATGAAGGCTCTAAATGTGTAGGGCGCCCCCCTCCCCCAGTGGAGGAAAGGATCGCAGTAACACTTCTAATTCTTACGTGCAGAATTAATGTGCTAGTAAAGGCAATAAGTACCTCTGTCTGGTTGTTTTAAAATTACTGTCATGGTTGCAAAACTGAAGAGATTAAAATATTAAATATACTGCTGTGTTTTTATATTTGAATTGTAGTTTGGGTTAAGTCATAAGCCAGTAGTCCGTAGTCCACACTGCTGTATTCAGAGTGGAAGACCTGGGGTTAGAGCCCAGCATACTTCTTTTGCTATGGAAATACTGATTTTTATAAAATAAGCTTTACTGTAGGTCTGTTTACACAAGCGTTGCAGAGATAGTTCAGAGAGTTTTTATGTACCCTCACACGGCTCCCCAACCATCTCACATCACGGTGCACGTTCTCAGAACTGAGAAGCCGCTATCAATACATACTCTGAATTGAAATCCAGAATCACTTGGATTTGCTGTTAATATCTCCTTTCTGTTCCAGAACCAGTCCAGGTGCCATGCCTTCTTTGGTCTGTGACAGTCCTATAGTCTTCTGTGACCCTAACAGTTTTCAGACAGACTGCTCAAGTATTTTATAGAATGTTCAATTCAAAGATGTTTTGATTTTTTTAGACACAACACAGTGTAACAGTCAGACTGCTTTTCATTCCTTTTTGGAGCAAATTATAGGTATAGATTCTTAAATACTGATAAGGATGTAAGTCACAGTATGTGTAAATAATCAAGCTTACCAGTGACTGAAACAGTAATTGTGAAAAGATTAATGGTATTGATTTTAATAGTCCTGTATATTAAATGTTCACACAATTGGTAAGACTCTTAAAAAAAAAAGATTTACTTATGCATACAAGAACTGGGGTACAGGCCAGACGTGCAGGGTGTGAGAGGATTCACCAGAGACAGAGTGTGGAGCAGAACAGGCAGATCGACTGAAATCCACTGCTGAGGGGAGCAGCAGGCGACACAGGAGAGGTCTCCCTTGCCAAGTGGGTCAGCTCCCTGGCAGGGGATCGAACTCCTGCTGCAGTGGCTGCAGAAAGCTTCAAGGTGCTTCACTTTAACCTATGTGCCACCAGGGAGGACCTTAGTCTCTGTTTTAAAGCTAGGAAGCACTTGTCAAGCAATGTGGCTATGCACTGACATACAGCAAGAGATAAGTCCAGTGGCCCTGTCCTGGTAGCACTTAACATTTCTTACCTGTGCAGATAAGAAATAAAATACACAGTAATCTTGGTGTGCTGCAATATAGGGTGACATGGCAGAGACTGATGGGGGAAGAGGAACTCTCCCTGAGGGGCCATTTAAACCAAAATTTAAGTGAAGGAAAGAATCTGATCATTTAAGATCCAGCGGTGGAGCTTTCTAGGCAACTGGAGAAGACAGAGCGAAGAGTAATGGTGGAGAGTGAGAGCAGGTGAAGTTGGGGAAAGCAGGGATCTTACGTGACAGACCCGGGTGAAGAGTCAGGGTTTCCTTATTAGTGCAATGACAAGCCATTAGAGGCCTTTATTTGCTTCTGGAAAACTGGCTGCTGTTGGAGAACCGATACTGAAGGGCAAGCGCGAAGCAGCGAGGCCTGACTGAGGAGAGGCTCAGGTGGGATTTTCTGAGCAAGAGGTGAGGGTCAAAGTGGAGAGAAGTGAAAGATGTGTTTTGGAGATTGAGTGACAAGATCACCTATAAATTATATATAAATATAAAGCATGTGGAAATGGGACCAAATAATGGCTTCTAGCATTTTACTTTGAATTTCTAAGAGTGTAACTTTAGTCAGAAACTATAGCACTAAGGAGATGCTTTATATATTAATACCTTTAAAGCTTTGTCAAAAAAATACGTTTCTTGATTTCAGAGAGCTTCATTCCTAGAGAGACAGCAGGGAGAATACGTCATGTAGGTTATGAAATGTTATGTATAGGTTATAGAAGATGTTGATTTCTAACTAGTTGCTGGTGACCAAAATGTCAAATGGGAGCTTGGTTAGTACGTGTCCTGCTGCAGGCAGGTGCCTCTGTCGCCTCCACGGTGTGGTGGGGGAGCGCACTGCACAGTGGTGATTCTCCATGCTGTAACACATGCAAACAGCAGACCTCTCTCTAGGAGAACATGCAGTGGGAGGTGGTGTGGCCAGATGGGGAGAGGGGTGCTGGGCAAGATTCTCTCTCCGTTGATTGCTGTGCTGTGGTGAGAAAGCAGTTGGTGTGTGTGCTGAAGACCACCCCTTCTCCTCCCCACCCCCCAACATACAGACACAGCCAGGCTGCCACACTCATCACGCCTAGGGAGGGGGTTTGGACGGGAATTAATTACCACATATTATTGGCATTAAGTAGTTAACTAGTAGTTAATTGGTATTGACTAGAATGAATTAGAATGAGAATTGTAATCCCCCTTTCCTACAGAAAGGCTCTGAATGTATTTGTCCAAGAGAATGGTGTAGAGAAAAAGGGTTTGAGTTTCAAAATAAGGTAGATATAAGCTCAACCATTCTCTGGCCAAGTGACCAAATCCAAGTCTCTAAATTGTTAGCTTTTTTGTTTGATAAACAGAAAGTAACACTAGTGTCTATATCTTAGGGCTATATGAAATACACATGTTAACAATTTATATTGGCACATTGGGGTGTGTGTGTCTGTCTGTCTGATTAAATAAATTACGTAAGTGTATTCATAATGTTATCACCACCATGCTCACCTCATAAAACTGGTTGGCCAATTCTTTTAAAGTCTTATATTTTTTTGTGCTTATTTTAAGCTGAGATGCACACAGACATGCATAGCTACTTAAACCAGGGGCTTTGCTGCTCTTAACCATAGCAGAGTAATAGAGAAAATAGCTAATGATGACAGACATCACGGAGAAAGGTTTTCTCCTCAAAAGTCAGGAGTGAGAAACAGAGGACACAAGTTTTTAGTGAATGCAGATTATAGTGTCTTTCCTCTCCCCAATCTTAGAAATAAGTGCCCATTTCAAAAAGTTTTAGACATTGTCACGGTTAGTGAGTTCACAGGGAAATGAGTGTGAGCATACATTGAGGTTAGCAGGTATTGATGTTATAACCTGGACTAATTTTCCAGGGGATTCACATCTCTTAAGGGTAAATTATTGTTACTTTCCTTCTAATTATTATGAATGCTTTTGGAATTTTTAAATTAATTTCAAAAATTCATATTTTTTGGCATTATTAGTAAATAGTTTTCACATTCCTTAGAGCACCAGTGTCCTCAAAGAGTTTGAGGACATAAGATAACAGATCATCTAAACTTAGTGCTAAAGATCACCCCTATTTGTCCTCAGTGTTGCGCCTGTAATGGGCCCATTTGAAAGTGTGTTGTATGTTAGTCATGGACAATAAGGCCTGTGCGTGCTTTTCCGAAAAAGAAAGAGGTTAGAGGTTAGCTATTATAGAAGAACTTGGCAGAGAAGTCCCTATTTGAATGTGAATATGAATCTTCTATAAATATGACCACACCCTCCTTAAAATTTTATGTCCAGGATAATCCTGTATTAGGCTCTTTTTAACCCAGCTGCCTGGGAAAGCAAGTTGGGGCTGGGTTGCTGGAAAAGGCCAAGAACCTCAGTCCATTTGGGAGTGCGCTGGTCGGAAAGGGAGAGGCCAAGGCTGCTCCCCTAAGGCACTTCTGCTTCCAGCTTCCCTTTCCTTTGTCCTCCGTTCTTCCTCACGGAGGTAGCAGGAAGTAATGCACTTGAGTCACTTTGGGGTTACTGTGGAAACAGTTTTTTCCTTTTTTGAAAAAGAAACAAACATATACAGGATGGATTGTTTTCACATTCTGATGTTTAAATGAGGATTCTCTTTGAAAGAAAAACAAACAGAAAGAAATATCTGACTTTTAATGACCATTCTCCCCCCCTCCCCAAAATAGGACAAAACAAATCAATTTCCAGTGATTTTAAAAGTGAATTAGATAATTAATTTTAAGGGAAAAAATTCA